ATTTATTTTAATTTAATTTGACTGTGGGTATAACAGTTTTTTATGCAGGGACACACACACAGCTACGAGTATCATTTTTCTCTTTTAATCCTGCTGCTTGAGGTCTTGCTGTGCAAATGCACTGCTGTTAAAACCTTGTAAAAGTAAATGGTATACAAATGTACTTTTTAATTGCTTACTGTGAGGAAACATTTGTACTTGCATTATAATTGATGATTAAATGTATTTGTTTTTGTCCACTCTAGGTGACCCAGCTGACAGGGTTCTCAGACCCAGTGTACGCTGAAGCCTATGTTCATGTCAACCAGTATGACATCGTGTTGGATGTGCTGGTGGTCAACCAAACCAATGACACTCTCCAGAATTGCACTCTTGAGCTGGCCACTTTAGGTTAGTCTGGTTTATTTTTCACCTCACTGGACATATGAACATGTTCTCCCCATTAATGATGATCAAGCCCCTCACATTTTTGCTACTAGTTGTTATGTTTGCATTCCACTAATTGTATCCATCCCACAGGTGATCTCAAGTTGGTTGAGAAGCCTTCACCTTTAACTTTGGCTCCTCACGATTTTGCTAACATCAAGGCTAATGTTAAAGTGGCCTCGACTGAGAATGGCATCATATTCGGAAACATTGGTAAGATAATCTTTTGGTTTATCGTCTTAATAGAACTTCAGCTCGTTTTGATCTCTGTAACCAGAGAAGTAAGTCTAATTTGTGGGGTGTATGTTTGCTCCTTTCTTTCCAGTGTATGATGTGTCGGGAGCCGCTAGCGACAGAAACTGCGTCGTCCTCAGTGACATCCACATTGACATCATGGACTACATCCAGCCTGCGTCCTGCACTGATGCAGAATTCAGACAGATGTGGGCAGAGTTTGAGTGGGAAAACAAGGTAGGCTTTGCTTTTCTACTTTGTGGCTAGTTCCCAGAAACAAATTGGCTTTAAAAAGTGTGTTTGATATCATTTGTCATACACACAGGTTTTTTGTGCTTCCTACATTCAAAAATCCATAAACCAAAATCAATATTTAGGACTGTGAGCATTGAAGATGTTCCCTAATCAATCTTTCTTTTTCATAGGTGACAGTGAACACCAACATCACTGATCTGAACGAGTACCTTCAGCATATCCTTAAGTCCACCAACATGAAGTGTCTGACTCCTGAGAAGGTTGGTATAAGACATCACATCAACAGAGAAAATTATTTAAATTAGGTTTTAATGCTGGCTGGACCAATAGAAATAAATGAAATAGGCCATTAGTTTTGGTGCTGGTGCATTTTGTAACGAATCAGGTAAATCCTCTGCTGTTGTTACTCTGTAATACTCTCAACTCTTATCCTTCTTTTCTCACAAACCAGGCGCTGTCGGGCTTCTGCGGCTTCATGGCTGCCAACCTCTATGCTCGTTCAATCTTTGGCGAAGATGCCCTGGCTAACGTCAGCATCGAGAAGCCCATCCACCTGGGGCCTGATGCTCCTGTCAACGGACACATACGCATTAGAGCCAAAAGTCAGGTGGGTCTCAGCTGCTGCACCATAAACCTTTATACATCTAAGAAGTAAAGGCTTTGTTGAATTTATTATCTTTCAACTTGAGAAATGCAGCAAATTAATCTTTTGGAAGGATACCATTGAATTAAATACTTTATTGAAGGAATTGCACGAAATGGCCAGGGAGAGTGATAATATGAAACAGCCCATAACTTGGTGTGATGTTGCTCTAAAAGCTTTTGCTCTTATCAGTGTCTAGAAATGCTATAACAATAAATCTTCTCCTTTCTTTCACAGGGGATGGCCTTGAGTCTCGGAGACAAAATCAACCTCTCCCAAAAGAAGTCAAATGTCTGAGACAACTCTGGTCCAGCTGACCCCTCTGCTGTTCTCTTTCATCCTCCATCTTACAGTCTTTTCATCACAGCTAATTAAGAACTCTATATGGTCGGTGGCTTTCCGCTATTTTCTTTCTTTCTTTTTTTTTTTACATCACCTCTGTCTGGAAACTAAATTTCAGTAATGTTCTTTCCCTGTCCTGTTTAATTTTCAATAAACTATGTATTAAAAGAAAGACTTAATTTTGCTTAATGCTTTATTCACTGTCACTGATGTATATTTTGTAGTTTAATTTTTGGCAGATTTAACTTAATGCTAAAACAATTATTTTTAAAATAAATAATTATTGTTAGTTTGCCCAACTATTCTAAACTTTATATTAGATTTATCGTTCTTTGTGCCCAAGTCACTGTTAAAGGTTTTAATTGATTAATTAATTCAACTAATCGTGTCAAAAGCCATATTAAGAACCTTAAAAAGACAGTTGGACATTTGTATAGAGGAAAAGAGGATGAGGTTCATGAGAAGGAGTTTCTACTGTCTTTATTTAGAAATGACTTGGAAGGGTGAAGTTTGGCCATTGTTAAATTGCTTTCACCTGGAAAGTTGAACATGAATAATGAATTCCTCAGATGCCTCGTGTGATCTCCTGCACAGTGTGAAGATGAAAATCAGTAGTCCAGTACCCCAACAATGGCATCATGAATACTCTTAAATACATCCATATCCTTAGCTTGGACACAATTTATTTTGACCTCGGGTACTACTGAATATTGCAGTGATTTCAAAGGTACTCTCAAAACAATCTGCAAGTGTTACCTTCACTGATCAAATGAGATTGAGATGGATTAGTGTTGGCAGAGAGTTACATATTCCACTTTCCCTCCTGTTTATGTATGAGTAAAGGGACATTTCTGGGAATATGCCAGATTAAAGGGTCACAACCCCGGTCATACATTTGCAATATCTCTGAAATCTGTCTCTCCAGGGGTTTAGATAAAGGCTGAAAGGTGGCTTTGAGGTCAGAGCCTCAGCTGCTAAAATAAACAGCTGTCTATCTGGCAGCAGTTACTGGCCGTTTCTCAATGTCGAGTAAAGCTGCTGCAGAGCCACTATTTCAAGTATACTACGTCATCGAGTGGCGCCGAAGGACTGTTTAAATGCCCAGCATTCGGCGCCACTCGATGACGTAGTATTCTTGAAATAGTGGCTCTGCAGCAGCTTTACTCAACATTGAGAAACGGCCACTGACAACCTACTGTCTGCATTGTACGGCCTCTTTGGATTTATGGTAGATATTATCCATCATTTTTACAATTAAATCTAAACTCCCTGTGTTTTTGCTATGTTTTTCTATTTTGGTGATTTATCTTGTACACAAAGTACTCGTACATTCTTTAATTTATCATTTTTATAGGGACTCTTTTATAGGGGGCTGTGTCTGTGAAAAGGTGTTTGTAAGTGGTTTTACTATATGTAGCACCAAGCCCAGTGTCAAAAATACTTTTCATTGTTCAAGGTAACTGTGAAAATATATATATATCTTTGGACACTTTCAGTTTACTGGGCAGTTTTTTTATTACGCCGGTCCTGCATTTTATACAAAAAACGCTACAGCATTTCTCTTTCTCAGCTGCTAACAAGCTTGTCCTGAACTTAAGGCCTTATGGGTGAGTTCAAAGGTTTAGCAACACTGTCACTACTCTCCATATGAAACAACTATTTATATGAATGCATGAAACCAACTTTTATACTCTCAATCAAGACTTTGAATGACACATTAGTGCACTGTTTCGCATCCAGCCTCCTTCTTCTGACACTAGGTGGCGCCACATGTGTCGAATCAAACAGTGCTTTGGCACCCTGCACATCATAATCCTGTAGTCAGATTTGTCATAACATGGCATTTACTTGACATGTTGACATAATACAAAAAAGTCATGCTTGTACACACTGAAGTTAAGTCTGTCCTTTCAGATAGACTGGCTTAAGTCTATTTTTCAGACTGAGTGCCATTTAAGTGAAAAGAAAATCAGAGTCCATCCCTTTTATTTGCACCTATCATGAAAACACTTCAAGATAAACATCACCATGTTGAATTCTTTACTATTTGACTAGAATAAGACAACCTTAAGCCTTTGAACATTAACTGTCACTGTTACATGAATACACTAATAAAGTTGTATCTGAGAGGAACAAAAGTGAGTTTTATTTGTCTTAATATTATTTATTTTTAGAATTTACATTACGATTTGATATTTGTATCAACCTTTTTATTGGTACAGTAAGATGCACTGCTGATAATCTAATTAGATAAATACTACATTTTCATGGAAAATTACTCTTCTTGTGCATTGCTAAAACGTTTCACACCAAAGCAAATTCCTTGTATCTGTAAGTTACTAAAACCGATTCTGTTACTGACTCTGATTGCCAATGACTGAAGAAGGCCGATGTAACATTTTTATATTTATTGTAACCAATGACCCTTAATATAACCTGGTGTTGAAATCTAAATATGAGATGTAAAAATGTTGTTCTTCCAATCGATGAAGACAATAAATAAGGGTTTATAACAATGAAGCAGTCTAGATTACAGAATAATGGAAGAATCAGAAACATGATACTGCAGTGCTTGTCATTTTTAAGCTCCTGACCTGATTTGCTTGTGAGGCAGTAGCAGTATACTGTATTTCAGTGAGTAGTTTTTTCTTTATTTTTTGAATTCATATGGCATAGGGTACAAAACATCTAATTGGAGACTTGTGAAGAAAACAAAATACAGTTTTTATTAGGCCTACTGGAGGTTTACACTATGACTATAGCTATAGCTGCAGGGCATCTTTATCATCCCTGTGTAATTTGTTGCAGTTAGAGAAGGCAGGCACAGCTTTTATGTGTGTGCTCAGGCCGTGTGTGAGGACAGGAATGTGACTGCAGGGGAGTATGATAGTCTCAGGACAGGGCTGTGTGTGTGTGTGTGTGTGTGTGTGTGTGTGTGTGTGTGTGTGTGTGTGTGTGTGTGTGTGTGCGCGCGCGCTTGCATGTGCATGTGTGTGTGCGCGCGCGCTTGCGTGTGTGTGTGTGTGTGTGCGCGTGTGTGTGAGTACACTGTAGGTGTGGTGTTCAGTCACACACAGCCTGTAGAAGGGCCCCTAGCGCCAGACATTAGTACTGGTCTGGCTGTTCACTCTGACTCTACTCCCGGATCCTCTGCTCGAACAACGCAGTCTTGTCGAGGCTGAATCACGGTCAGGCGTATGGACAGGCGCCCGTAGCTCCGTAGACCCTTCCTTATCTATCTATCCGTGCATTAAACGGACTACACCGACGAGTCATTTCCCGCACGTTTCTGGACTCTTCTCTCCGGTGTCTCACACTGCAGGGCCTCTTCACTTTACAGGAAAAAGTGGGTGTTTGCTGCTCACTGGTGTTCCGGCGGCGGCGGCGGCGGCGAGCAGCGAAGTGTCCTCGATGGCAGGCTGGAAGGACGGCTCGGTGCAGGAGAAGTATCGGCTGGTAGTGGTCGGAGGAGGTGGTGTCGGGAAATCAGCCCTGACTATCCAGTTTATTCAGGTCAGTAGCATGCACACTTCACTTGAATTGTAGCCCGTGCTTTAAAATGCTTATCCGAAAACACGGCGAAATCAGAGGGGAGGCCAGACACGGGAACCCCGTAAACGGATACCGGGGTGTTTTCTTCTCTACTTTATTTGAGGCCTTCAACTATTTACAGAGGGGTTGTTACAACATGTTAGGGTGAGATATTAAGCCTTATTTTGTGAATTAAACGAGGAAGGACGGCTGTCACTTTAACACTTCGATTTCCGAGAGATCCACTTCCACTTTGCCGTTCATTGCCGCTAGTCAAAAGAGAAAGGAAAGTGGGTCTGCGGAGCTCCTCAGTTGTCCTATTTTATTAACTTGCTGCAGAGTAACGTTAATAAAGAGTCCATGCTAAAATGTAGTCCGTTCTAGCCAGAAACTAAAAGGAACCCTCAGCCCAGATGAGTGTTAATGCTATAAAAAGTGCATTGTAGAGAGTTACAGAAAACTCCCTGTAAGAACATCATTGTAGTAGGCCTACTGGTGCCCTCAGAGAGATAAATGTACTTTTAACATTATAATTGGGAGACACCAAACTGTTCTAAATCTCATGAGAAATAAGCAAACAATGACAGAACCCGTAATGGTTTAATTAATATATAATAAGCAGAACAGCAGCAGCACATGTATAACACCCATTATAAGATGATTCACTTTTATGTTCAGATGTAGACTTTCGATAAAGAGACCTTCTGGCAAACATTATTTGAAACACTTCCAGTGACTGAAGGCAAACAACTACATTAATGTTAATATTCTTTTAAAAATAATTAACCATTTCCCCCTGAAAGACTATGTTTTCATGAGTTTAATGGAAGCTTACTTGAAAATCCATCTGTGTCACATATAAAAGGCACGTAAAGAGTTACCTCCATCTATGCCTGGTTGCATTCCAGCACACTGCAGAGCCTGCCTCGCTTTGACCTTCCAAGCTTTCATAATAGTAATTTAAGCAAGGGCTCCTTTCTGAAAAGCCCCCCCCCACACACACACACAGACACACAGACACACACACACACACACACACACACACACACACACACACACACACACACACACACATACACACACACACACACACACACAGTGACACACACACACACACAGTGACACACACGCACACACACACACACACACACACACACACACACACACACAGTGACACACACACACTGTATGAAAGAAATGACAAACTTTAACCTTTGCCTTGTGTGTTTCCCCCTCGTGTGGTACTGACCAGACTGCAGGCAGCTGCATGTCTCCACACTGTCAGACAATAGTGGGCTGGCACACGTTTTGAGAGAGTGGGGGTAAAAAGCTTGTGTGTGTGTTGGGGGAAGTTGTGTCTAATGAGGATTCAAAAAGCTCATTAACTGCATACCAAGTAAAAAGGGATCAGATTGCTGTGGCACAGATATTTGCCATAGCCTGCTGACCTCACTGACCTGAAGTAGGGCAGCATTTGAAGCTGAATTAAAACGCACCAAAGACATTTTACTGAATATAAAAACAGTGTTAACATTGATATTATGATTGGGAATATTTTTCTCAGTTTGAACATCATAATTCATGTCTGCTCAATATAATTAGCAACGTTTGTTTTACCATTGCATTAAGAGGGATGCTAAAAGATTTATTAATAAAACAGCAGCCTCCACTTGGAATCTGCTGCTTAATGAACAGCCAGCCACACCACTGACAAACTCATTCAAAAGCCTATTATTGAATGACCTAAAGTGTAATATTGTGTTGAATAAGTGAGCTCAACACAACCTAGAAAATATCATCAAGCTCTCTGCATTGTGCTCTTGCAATACATTTATTTTGGAAAGTAAACGGTAAGGAGTACCAGGGTATAATTTATTTATTTCAGTTGTAAAGTCGGATTTTGCTGGAACAGCTACTTTATATGCATTTTGTATTCAGCGTGACCCACAGTTAATTTACTCATGCCTTTCTCGCCATCGGCTGGCATATCTGGTGCCGTGAAAGTGAGAGAGATTGAGATGTTGACAGCAGCAGGAGAACCTACATCCTCTTCAGAAGTTTCTAGAAGGTGCCTGCCAAGAGAAAAGACCTAACAGCTGATTGTGAAGTTGAGGCTTTCCCCAGAACTATGTTGAGTATTGAGGAGGTGGGGGGTCTGAGTCAGCCTGGGTGGGTTAATGGTCACGGACCATGTGGAATTTGGCCCTTTGGCAAAAGGAAGTCACTCTGCTGCTGCTGCTCTTAGGACCTTTTAGTTTTGTATGGAAAAACATGACCGGCTTCCTGAATCATAGAGCTATATGTGTGTGTGTTTGTGTATGTATGTGTATATCTTGACAGGGTTTTTTTATTTAGTTTTATACGTTTTTCCAAAAAGTGCTTGATGTAATTTTCTCCCAGATTTATTGCAGTATCACTTTTAATGCACGTGTTATGAAATATAACACATTTTACAATATACCAGGCCTCCTGTCAGTGCTAAGTAAAACAGCGTTAATGCAAGTGATTAAAGTCTCTTCATAAACAGAAAAACCTTAGTTGAAACTATTTTTTGGCTTCCTGGTTTGCAATGGCTCCTTCCTCTTATATTTTCTTCCATTTCTTATGGATATGGTTTACATTGAATTCATACCTAGATAAAGAACATGAAACATTTATTATTTGATAACTACTCATCAAGTAGGTAAGAAGTCACTGTTTTAAATAGACTACGAAGAGTAAGCTTAAGGTAGTTTTCCAACAGTTCTACAGTATGATTTTATAAAGGAAAGGTGCTCTGACAGTGTGTCTTTTTGTGGCATCATGTGTTATATGTTTGTATTTGCAGGAATGTGTCTGTGTTGGGGGGTGGCTAAAGCCAAGCACTAAACATTAACTATTTTAAGAAGCATGTTTCAATTTTGTGTAATTTGAACATTTTCATTACTGGAACCAATATCATACCTGAGCTTTGGCACTCAAAACGAAAACCTTGCTTTTAAATGTACCAAAACATACCAAACTCTTAAATGCACTTAAGTTGAATTTACAAAAGCAGCACCCTTTGCACACTAAAAAAGTTCTGATATAGCTCAGAAAATATGTGATTAAAGTAAAACAAGACTTTGATCGTTTGATGTCAATTAGATACTTGGCAGTCTTTTGATACTCCATTCTATTGGCACATTTCAGTCATTACTTAAGTCAAAAACAAAACAACTACTGTGTGAAGCAGGGATTTCTGGGAGTTGGGGGATTAAAGATGATGTCGCTAGCAATAACAGAATGGCAGGCCCCCGGGGGCTGCTGGCCTCCCTAACGCCGAGCGGTTGACTCAATCTGAGATAGCATTGGCATGACATAACATTGAGTCATCTGACAAAAGTTGTGAAACACAGTGTGTTGTTTTAATGTGACGTCCATAAAGAAGGAAGCATCCCAAGAAGGGCAAACATGACTCACATTGGCAATGTGAACACAGCATGTGGGGTGGTGTTGTGTGTAGGTTTGTTTTTACCCAAGCAATAATCACACATCAAAAACTGACTTAATTTACAAAGAGTAACCAAAGGAGCTCCTAAAATGAGACCATAATGAGGCGTTGTGTGGTCTGATTGCTGGTCTCTGACTTATGGTGTTGCCTGCTCACATGCTTGCTAATATTAGTGTTGTGGCGGCCCCCGGCAGTGGAGATTCATCCATGAGAGCAAAACATCCTGACTGATCAAGTCCAGACAGTTGAGGATTTGTGTTAGACCTCATCTGGATTTACAGCTGAAGTGACCCCTCTCTTTCTATACTCCTACTCCTTTTTCGAAATATCTCACATATTTTGTTTAGATATGAGGTATTTTATGAAGAATGTTGCCCTAGAGTAATAATTCAATAGCAAACACGGATTATAATGGCAGCTCTCGTTGGGCATGTGGAGGCAAGGTGTAGTAATGATAGTAACGCAGGAGTTGAATGTGGTGACCGCCGTTTCATGTGCATTTCTCAGAAATAGCCACAGGTGGTTAAACAAAATGTTTGCAGCGACGCTGTAGTGTGTGCGTTTGTGATTTAGTTTAGAAGTTTAGTTGTATGTAACACCACACACGGCATACTCTCAGCCCATTTTTTGATACAGGCAGATTTGTAGCTTTCTGTCTGGCTCAGGGATATGTCACATGCCATACCGCTGAGTGCAAACATTTCCATTTATATTCTGACCGGCGTTTCTACATGTCCTTTAAGGGAGTTAAATACCTTTCCTTTGTAAAGGAAGACTGGACCATATGACATTTAGCTCTCTTTTACCGTAGGGTTTGCAGATGCGTGTGTATGTACCTGTGCGTGTGTGCGTGGCTGTTAGCCCAGGTGATGAGAGGACAGTGTTTGTTTAGCTCTGTAGGAAAGTCACCTGTTGATTTCTCACAGAGCTGGACTGCAACAAAAGCAAATAAGTCCTTCATTGGTTTTGACAACACAAATTCTAACCAGGAGGTAAAAATAAGTACATGTATCTATGACAACAAAAAATAACAATAATTTAAGAGGCTAGAGGACAGCCTTTTCGGGACTACGTCACCTAGAGGAAAGAATGCAGGTCTTGTGCGTGCAGTGACTATTGCATGGAATTTATAAAGCAAACAATTCTGATAGACAAACTGTTTTTGTGAATGGTTTCATAGTTACTTAGCTTGTTGAACATCTATCAGTATAAGCATGCACAAACATAAACGACAATGACTTGTCTTCTGCCTGCTTCGCCAAACGCAGAGTGTATAACTGCAAAAAAAGATACTCTAATAACGTAGTTATAAAAAAGGTAGATTTCTTTAAGGATCCATTTTCTTCTAGGCTGGTGCTGCACTCACATTAATATCTGTTTCATGTTAGTGTGCTCCAGTAAAAGCTGAACAATGAATTTTAAACAATGGCCTGGACCGAGCACAGTAGCACAAAGTCTGTGTGACTGTGCCTTATTTCCCTTTTCCCACCACCACCCTTTACCCTCATTT